TTTTGCTTCCAAACGGTGCAAATTGAGGTAACAAGATGGATATAGCTTGCGCCGAAAACATTTTAGCGAGAGAAAAAAACGAATTGGACAAAATCAAGGCTAGTAAAAATATAAATTACAAAAAGATTTCGAATTATAGTCAAAATTACTTCTATCGGATTTTCAAAAAAAAAAGTTTTGTCGAAAATTTTAGGTCAATCAAATTGATTTTTTGAGCCATCCCAAACAATAAAAAACTAGAAAAACAGGCCAAAAAGTAGTTATTTTTTTAGAAAGTGACCAAAAATAATGCTTTTTTTTTGGCGCGCGTTCCCCACTCAAAATTAAAATATATTGGCGCCAAAGGTGTCCTCAGAAAGTTTTTAGGGTCCGTCACCAAGAATGGATATCTTAAAATAGTACAAAGGGGGACCCTTTGGGTCGGCAGGGGGTCGAATCCCTCAGGGGAAAGCGTCCACCCCCTAAACTCGCACCTACTTGTATCAGAAAACAAAAGATGCATGATTTGCAAATTAGGCCGACAAAAAATAAGTACACAAACAAAAGTTCAACAATTCAATTCCCTCCCATAAAAAGTGTTTTCAAAATCTTGCCTCCGGCGCCAAAAATATGGCCAAAATTACGACAAAAGCGTGCATTGGGAGAGATCGAAAAATCAATTTGGTCGGCCTAAAAAAAGGTCGTCAAAAAAAGGTCGTGTAACATAGTGCTATTTTTTTGACCATCTTAACATCAAAATTGGCTGGAAAAGGGTTTGGTAAACTCATAGAGTAACTTCAGATAAGATACACCGTCTGCTCGTCACGCTATCTTATTTTCGGCCGGATAGAGTCGTGCAACTTCTTAGTCTAATACCAACCTTAATCTTACTCTTTTATCTGCTAGTCTCAATAGATCTAGTGTACACCACTTTACGCAAGTTAGTTTCCATAATGAGAACAACTGTAGTCTAGGTTTAACTCAAAGTGCTCTGGTGCTGAAACTACTAGTAGTTTCAGCACTTACAGATAAGTGAATTGTTAGTTTGATGGAGTATGATTGGCTAGTATTCAATATTTAGTATTCAATATTTTTATCTATTCTCATCTGATGCGACGAAAAGTCTCAAACAAGACCCTAACTATTTTAGATTAGAAAAATAAACCAGAACATTAGGATAGAGTTAGACAAATACAACATTTTAAAAATGTTGTATGACGAAAAACTTAGTAGAAATGCCTCTACGACTCAATAGATCAGAAACAATTTTCCGAACAATACGAGAACTACTCGGTATTGGAAGAAGGCCTCGGACAAGAGGCGACGTACAACTAGGAAGAAACCTACCAATTGATTTCATGATTGTACGACAAAAACCAGATCAAACTTTTATAATTAGAATACTTGCAGCAGAAAAAATATATATTTTCATTTACTAACATAAATATTTGAAGAAACATCTTCAATAATTTTTCATGGCGCTAAACCTAATAATTATACAATAACGACCAATAAAAACAACACTAGTCGTCTTTCTCCTTGAAAAATCTGCAGTAAATTAAAAACAACTTTAAAATAATATTCATTGAAGATAAAAGTACAAAAATTAGTTAGTATAAAGCATTTGTTGTTAGTATATATAAATCATTGCTCCAACCCAGCTTCATCACCTAAAACATAACAGCAAATCTCAAAAACTAAAAAACATCAAAACTAAAAACTCAACATTTTTCACTTAAATTAATTTCATTTAAAATAGCAGATCATCAAAGCTTCCCTTAGATCTTTAAATTAAATTGAACTAATTCTAAAATTCTGATCATCAAGTCTTATCCTTGTATCCATTAGAACAATTTTGTTCTCCCCCTCCCATATTAATTAGTATCTAACGACCTCAAACGTCGACTCACTACCCAACACTTTTTAAAGACCCAGAATTAACAGAAATTTTTCAAATAGCTAACCATTCTAATTATGATAAACAGTGAAGAACTTCGGTTACTCATCCTTAATTTGATCCCCTTCCTCTTAAATGACCCAAGCTAAATCACTTAAACTTAGTAAGTCATAAAATAGTATCTAACGAACTACTTGCGTTCTAATTATACCTGAATCTTGTGGATCAATTTACCATTCTCCAACCCTTGATCACAAATCACAACCCCTAAGTAATATTAGGTAAGTCTAACTTAACTTAAAATTATTCACGAGAAAGGAAAAATCATTCTCACGAATTGAAATATGCTTTTCTCTCCGACCCGACAAATACGCCTCAAGTTAAGCTAACCACAAAAAATCGTAGCCACAAAAAAACTAACAGTTTAAGACACTAGAAATCACTAACCCCAATATTGCATTCATCATCCTAAACCTTATGTCAAGAGACAATTTAGGAAATAAACAAACAATTATATTACACAATTGTAAAATTAACCACGAAAAATACGATCTCGTAATCACACCACACAGACAAACAATGGGATACATAAGAACAAAAAGACAAACACTAAAAAAAATAATTAACAAACGAAAACAAATTAGTAGGAAACGATTTTCAAAACGAAGAAACGCAGTCTCAGAATCAAAAACAAGCGCAATACAAGAACTACACAATTTAAAAGACTCAATAAGCAAAAACCATCAAAATAACAATCAAATATACTTTTCTGACCCAGAAACTACGTCACCAGCATCAATAAAAGGACAACGTACAATAAAAAAAGTCATACTCAAACAAACCAAGAGGTCTGTACAATTGGAATCAACCAATAAGACACATTGAGAATTACCCGCTAACAGTGATACAACACAAAAATGATTCGTAATGAAAAAAACCTAGAAGATTCAACACTCGCATTTTTAATGCATCCCTCATCTGAAGCTCTAGGAAAAGTACAATTTTGCTTGTCCTCGATCTCATTCAAACTGATGACATAGAAAATCAAATTTCAAAAATTTTTACAGAATACATAAAAAATATACAAGATCAAAACTCACAAAGAGCCAATTCAATGTTCACAATCGATGTATTTTCACTTATCTATAACTATTTATCTATATTAGAATTGAAAAAACCTCAAGGCGGTTCGCCAACTCAAAAATTTCGACATACAACCGTACGCCAAAAAAAACATATATTTACAAACATTTTGAATGCAAAGAGTGAAAATCTAACTAGTAACAAAACAACACAACACGTAAAACACAATTTACAAAAAATCTTAGCATAGTTCATTATCGATTAATTTGTTTATAAATT